CCTCTCTGCCCCCTCCCTTGTTCTCACCTGTCAGAACACAGTAAATTAGATAGGGCTGAAAATGTTGCATGGAGGAAGCTGCCTATGTTCATCTCTCAGAGCATCTATAAATCTGTTGGTATCAGTCACACAGTGTTAAAGAATCTGACAAATAGGAAATCTGACATTGTATCATGTACTGAAATATTTTACTGTATCCATAAATATGTTCAATTATTATGACAATTAAAAATAAAAAGTATTTTTAAAATATGAAATCTAGGGCTGGGGTTATAGCTTAGTGGAAGTGTGCTTGCCTAGCATGTGTGAGGCACTGGGTTCGATTATCAGCACCACATACTAATAAATAAAATAAAGGTCCATCAACAACTAAAAAATATTTTTAAACAATATGAAATCCAACCCCATTTGACAGGGGTATGGGGCCAAAAAGAGGCCCAAAATCACAAGGGCCATAGAAACAGTGTCTGCCAGCCACACTTCTCCCCTATTTTCATGTCCCTCACAAACTCTTCTCCAAAGTGAGTGGCAGAGAGAGGGGTCAGGTCCTTAAATTTTGGTATCACTTCTTATTTAGAAACGCATGTGTTTGGATTTGGAATAGCCCCTCAAAGGCCTTGTGTTAAACGACCAGCCCCTAGGCTGGTGTTCCTGGGAAGTGATGGAAACTTTAAGAGGTGAGACCTAGTAGAGGTCTCTAAGTCTTCAGTGGTGTGTCTTCATGAAAGGGATTATGGGACCCAGTCCCTTCCACTTTCTGGTTTTTGCTCCCTGGTCATAAAATGAAAGATTTTTCTCTGCAACACATATTTTTTTTTCCTTCTAGGGTCAAGGATCAAACCTAGGGACTTACATGTGGAAGGCAAGTGCTCTGTCAATGAGCTAAATTTCCAACCCTTTTGCTGTAATGTGTTGCCTTACCATATGCCCCAAAGCAATAGGGCAATCAATCATGGACTGGAACCTCTAAAACTGTGAGCCAAAATAAAACTTTTCTATCTATAAACTGATTATATCACATATTGTTATAGTAACATAAGGCTGACTAACACACATGCTCACAGGATTTAACCAAGAATTTCACTAACTGGTAAAGGCAACTAGGAAAAAACATACATTTATCTATGTATTTTTTCCATATTTTTATTTGTGCATTATAATTATACATTGTGGTGAGATTCTCTGTCACATCTTCATATAATAATTTAATTTGGTCAATCTCATCCCCCAGTATTTCCCCTTTCCCTTCCCTCCTGCTGGGCCCTTTCCTCTACTCTATTGGTCTCCCTTTCATTTTCATGAGACATCCCCCTGCCCACTACTTTATTTTCTTTTTTCCTCTCTAGCTTTTAATATGAGAGAAAACATAGGATCCTTGACTTCTGAATTTGGCTTATTTTTCTCTTTTTTTAATTTTTATTTTTTAAGTTGTAGATGGACATAGTTTTAATTATTTATTTATTTATTTATATGCAGTACTGAGAGTCAAACCCAGTGCCTCACACGTGATAGGCAACCGCTCTACCACTGAGCCACAACCCCAGCCCTGGCTTATTTCTCTTAACACAGTATTCTCAAGTTCCAGCCACTTTCCTACAAATGACATAATTTCATTCTTCTTTATGACTGAATAAACTCCATTGTGTGTGTGTGTGTGTGTGTGTGTGTGTGTGTAAGATTTTCTTTATCCATTCATCCACTGACAGACACCTAAGCTAGTTTCACAGTTTGGCTATTGTGAATTGTGCTGCCATACACATGAGTAGGCATGCATCACTATAATATGATGACTTTAATTCTTTAGGATAAATATAAAGGAGTGGTATAGCTGGATCATATGATGGTTTCATGTCTACTCTTTTGAGGAACCTCCATACTGATTTGCACAGTGATTATACTAATTTGCCCGCCAATAGTGTAAAAGTGTTTCTTTTTCTCCATATCCTCTCCAGCATTTATTATTGTTTATATTCTTGATGACTGCCATTCTGACTGGTATGAGATAAAATCTTAAGTAGGGTTTTGATTTGTATTTTTTGGCTTAGAATTGCTTTGGCTATTCTGGGTCTTTAATTCTTCCAAATGAATTTTAGGACTGGTTTTTATAGTTCTGTGGTATTCAGCTGAGAATTCTGCTGAATCTATATATCGCTTTTGGTAATACACCATTGTAACAATATTAATTCTGCCTCCTAATGAACATGGGAGGTTTTCCTATCTTCTAGTGTCTTCTTCAATTTCTTTCTTCACTGTTCTATAGTTTTCATAGTAGAGGTCTTTCACCTCCTTGGTTAGATTCCTAGGTATTTTATTTTTTGGAGGCTACTCTATTATATGGGATTGTTTTCCTGTTTTGCTTTTCAGCAGGTTCATCATTAGTGTATGGGAAAGCCACTGATTTTTGTATGTTGATTTTGAAACTTGTTACTTTGCTGAGTTTGTTAATTAGCTCTATAAGTCTTCTGGTGGGGCTTTCAGGAGTCAACACATGACCTGCAGTGAGACTAACCTGGTATGCAACTAGCCATGTACCAGATCTTGCCTAACTCCACAACTCCACACACCTTGGTTACTGCCTTCTATATATAGTCCTCTGACTCTACTCTCTACCTAGAATGTTTCTGACCTATTATTGTTTCTGACCACTCAAATCCCACCAATCCTTCGAAATCTGACTTTTCCAGAAAATTACAATCACTACTCCTGTTCCTGCTATCTGATCACATATGCTCCTCTATTTATCATTTTCTTCTATAGATTTTTGCATTTTACCTCTTCCTATTTCAAGCCGAAATATTTCATTTATATCTTCTCACCAACAGTACTTGAAACATCTTGTGGGTAGGAATGTAGTATACCATCCCCACAATATTACATACTTGTAGTAGGCTCGTAATAAATATTCACTAAGATGCAGTCTCCTTTTTTTCCTTAGGCCGAGGAGGCTGACTGTGGGAAGAGGTATACTGGAGAAAGCTAAGGCTTTTGGAGTTTTTAACTATCTTCCTGTACGCTACCTGCTTTAATACAGGAATGCCTATATATACTACTTCACAATTACCAGGATGGCTAAAATAAAAAAGGATAGTAACAAGTGTAGGTAAGAGTGAGGACAAATTGGAAATATTATACATTGCTGATGAATGTGAAATAGAGTGGCCACTTTGGAAAACAATTTGAAGGTTCCTCAAAAAGGTAAAACACAGAGTCACCATATGATAAATACCTCAAGATAAATACCTATAAGACTTCAAAATAGGTCACACAAAAACTGGCAGGCAATGTTCATTGCAGCATTATTTATAGTAATCAAAAAATGAAAACTCAAATGTCCACCAATGAATGAATGGATAAACAAAATGTATTAGATGCTTACAATGAATGTTATATGGCTAGAAATGAACTACTAATACATAGTACAACAGGGGAACCTTCAAAACATACTAAGTGAAAGAAATCAGATATAAGTAGTGACATATTTACAATTCTATGTAGATGAAATGCCCAGAAGATAAAAAATATAGAGACACAGAAAGTAGATTTAGTGGTGGGCAGGGGCTAATGCAAGGGAAGGGAATGAGGAATGATTATTATTGGATATAGAATTTCCTTGGGGGATGATGCAATATTCTAGAATTACATAATGATAAGTTTGTACAGTCTTATAGTAAAAAATGATAAATTGTGTATTTTAAAAGGTGAATTTTATGGCATGTGAATATTTACTACGAGCCTACTACAATTACAATCACATCTCTAATTGTTAAAAAGAAAAAGAAAGAAAAAAAAGACAGGCAAGTATGCTACAATGATCCTCAAGTTTTCAAATATACAAAAACCACCTGGGTTGCTTATTAAGATATGAATTCCTGGGACTCCCTGGCATCACCACCAAAGTTCTAACCTAATTCGGGGTGAAACCTAGCAGTCTATATTAACACAGGATGGGACACTGATGCAATTTATTAGCTATGAAGCATGTTTCTTGAAACACAAGTATAATGAAAAGAAATTGTAATTTAGAATCAGAAGAGCTGGGTTCAAATTCTGGTATTACTTCTTCCTAATCATACAATTCTAAGCAAATCACATAACATTTCTGCTATTTTGGTTTCTTCAACTCTAAAATGTAATAAAAAATGTCTCCCTCTACAGAGACAGTACATATAAACTATAATAGAATACATGGCACACAGTTGGCATTCAATAAATGCTAAGTTGAAACCTAATTGGGTGCCAATTCCATTCAACAAACATTATCAAGTGACTATAATATGAAAGGCACAATGCAAGCTGATGGTAATAAGTAAGACCAAATTTTAAAATAATGGATTTTGTAAAATTTGAAATAGACTTCTTTTTATAACTTTATTTTATTTATTTTCTTTTGTATGGGGTGCTGAGGATTGAACCCAGTGCCTCACACATAGTAGGCAAGCACTGTACCACTGAGCTACAATCCCTGCCCTGAAATAGACTTTTGAAACCAAGTATCATTGTTTACAAACTATTTTAATTAATATATTACTTTTCATGACCCTGGAAAAATGAATTTGGGAGTATAGCAAAAAACAAACAAATAAACAACAACAACAATAAAAAACACCACAGGTCAGGCATTTGATAATTATAAAGAATTTCTGAAGGTTACTCATAAAATTGATACTTGTGGGGCTGGGGATGTGGCTCAAGCGGTAGCGCGCTCACCTGGCATGCACGGGGCGCTGGGTTCGATCCTCAACACCACATAAAAATAAAATAAAGATGTTGTGTCCGCTGAAAACTAAAAAATAAATATTAAAAAAAAATTATCTCTCTCTCTCTCTCTAAAAAAAAAACTTGATACTTCTACTGTAGTTTTTCCTTTGTATTTTCTCTTTCTAAGTAGAACATAAGCTTAGAATTAGGGACCATGCCTTAAACTTCTTTTACATCCCCTAAATATCTATTCCAGATAAAAAATATTTATCAAGAACACAATGAACAGTGTGGTCTCTTACCTTTAGGTCACGATGGATAATAGGTGTTTTGCATTGATGCAGGCGGGCAACAGCTTCACAGGTATCACAGAATATCTGCAGCACTTCATTCTCTGTAAAGCCTGTTTGCAGGCGCTGGTTCATCAGGTTTACCACCTGGCCTCCTGATAGGGGTACAAAGAAGAAGTTATAATCTTAGTCAAACTGGTCATGTAGACCAGAAGAATGAATGGCTATCCAAAGAGGAGCAACCTGAACTAAAGTTACTGAACTGATCACCAGTCAAGTCAGACTAAATCCCAGGTGTCTACACTCTTAGTTTGGAATTTGTTTTCTTACAATCCAGTGCCTCTTCTAATACATCAAAATAACTTTCTTTATTTCACAAAGTACCTCAGATGTGAGCTGCCCTTATTATGTCTTCAAGATCAGTAAAAGAACTGACAATATTGCCTTGCTATAGTTCCCTGGTTTTACTATGCCCATTGGGTATGAGATAAGGCCACAGCCTCAACTTGCCCTCTTTTAGTAAGAATCAGATGGCACAACAGACTCAGGCAGCAGGAGGAATACAGTGTTAGTTTGCACTTTAGGAAAAGCTTGGTCTCTTTGGTTTCACTACTTAACTGCCTGGCCTGTGCAAATGCTACGCCAACCTTCATCTCTAAGATCAAAAGACTGATGACCTCTCTCACAGAATTATCCAGATCCCTGAATGTTCCTATATTGCTTGGTCTGTAATTGGGCGGAAATAAATTGTCAATTTGGTAGTATTTTACAAAATCATGTTAATAGCTCATATAATGAAGACTGAAATTACTGGTTATCTCATTTTTGAGATGAGCAACATATTTAATTTATATTAAATTATATATTTATTATATATGAGCAACATATTTAACAGGCAGTATTGTTAATGGCAGAAAAATGTTAGTGGAACTAAGGGCAATTACAAAACAGGGCACAATAAGACAATGATCCAAGCTTGTAGGTGCCAGGTGCTTAGCTAAAAAAAGCCAAACCTCTAAACAATAGTTGTATGGAACACAGTCAACTCTGAATACTCATTTATCAGTCTGGATTCTCAAGATAAATGTTGGAAACTTCAAGCTACCAACTATTTAAACTCCACAGTTAACAGCAACATCATGTGAATGTAGCCTTACTAGGAATTAGAGCTCTCGAGTGAGGAGAAAGTTATTTCCATTGGACAGAAAGGATTCTTTTACCCCATTACACAAGGATGGTGGTGTGAGTGGGGGGAAAAACACACAAGTGCGGGGGCAGGGAAGCTGGCTGCTTCTTTATTCCATCTGGAGATGGGCCTTTATTATGTGCCTTCATGACTGGTTTTAAAGCATCACAAAGGACACATTCATTCTCATTCTCATGTGTTCTCATTTATATACATGACCAAACCTTCCCAAACCTAACAAAAATGGGGATCTGTATTATTTATCACTGTCAATTATTTGTACCACTGCTCTTGCAATCATAACCAAGGTTGACAGCAGATTTACATAGCTTTACATCCTTTTAGTTTTCCTATTTGTAAAATTAAAATGACATACTTCAGGGTAGGTACAATGCACATTAAATGAAAGAATCCTTATGAATCCTCATGCTCTTGACAATCAAAATGCTAGAGAAATGAGAGATTAAGGGTATGGTTCATATACATACCTCTACAAAAGTCCATCAGAATGAGAACTTCCCATACATCGCCGCTACTCACATTGTTGATACTAGAATCAATGTAACCCACAATGTTCTTGTGCCCTGACAGGTCCCTCTGTGAACAAGAGTTGAGAAATATATTGTCAGTTACAGACACCAATAGGGACAGAATTAACTAGAAACTTCCATTATTAGCGTAGATAACTTCAATACACAGAGACAAAATTAATAGTTTTGAGAGGTAAGAGTAAGAAGCTGAGCCAAGAACGGGTTTCCAGGGGTCCTGAGATTCCAATGGCAACTCATGTCCCTAATGAATCAAATCACTCTCCAGAATCTAAATTCTAAAGTCAATGCACACAGAACATCTACTTGCTCACCACACCAGTGCCCTATATAAACCAGAAGCAAGGAACTCCCTCACTCCAGAAATACTGCCTAGAAGGACAGAGACAGTATGAACTATTTACATGTATAAATTTACATGTATAAATTACAGGAAAAAAATGGAGGTTTCTTTACCCTGGTTGTGGAGGCAAAAATGATTTCAACTTGACTTTTAAATGATTCATATTGCTTCTCCCATTTGAAAATATATGAAAAGAATAATTGCTTTACAAAGTTTTGAAGGGACTACAATAGCATCCAGATCTAAGCATTTTGCTCATAATTAAGCCTTTCAAGCTAATCAACTGGGATATAAGATAGGGAATCAGTCAAAACTGCATGTGATCTCTCAGGCTGCTTGGAGAATTCATTCATCCAACACATATTTACTGAGCATTTCCTATGTGTCAGGAACCATTTAGGCATTACAAGTTGCCTAACACTTGGGTATAGTCATTTTAACATCCACAGAGGCAGATCCTTGAAATTGAAATCCAAGGTCATTAAGATACTCTGTTGGAGAAAGAAATTGAGCAAGTTGTGTAATATGATTCTTAGGCAAATATAAGGTAAAAAAAAATAGTTTTAATAAATTGTTTTACTTTTGTTTTTGAAAACTTAGGGGAAGGAAATGGAAACTATGTGGTTCTATGAAAGCCTCCATACAAAGTTGGCAGTTTGGACCATAAGAACAGATATTACTACTACCCTAACAGAGATTTAGCTTCTTTAAAGTCTTATAATCTGAAATTACATACAAAAACAAGAGGAAACCTGACAGTACCAAATGAGTGTGCTTGAACTCTGAGCTCTAAAACTCATCAGACCTTTCCTCTGACTAGACAGACTGAATGGTCAGTGACTCCCCAAAAGGTAGAGAGAGGTAGAAAGTGACCACAGGAAAACTCTGAAGACTTCTGTGAGAATAGGTTCAGAGAAAGGATGGGATAGAGGTGAGAATGGACCTGGACTTGCAAAGAATTGGAGTTGAGCAAGTAGCACCTGTGACTACAGGTTATTGTTTTAGAACATTGTGCTTAAGAAAGTAGCAATGATGGGCCTGGGGGTTGTAGTTCAGTGGTAGAGCACTTGTCTGGCACACATGAGGCACAGGGTTCGATCCTCAGCACCATATAAAAATAAGTAAATAAAACAAAGGTATTATGTCCATCTACAACTAGAAATATTAAGGAGGGAGGAAGGGAAAGGAGGGAGGGAAAGAAGGAAGGAAGGAAGGACAAAGGAAGGAGATTTTAGGATGGGAGGAAAGTGAGTGCTGGAGAGTGAAAGGGGCCAGAAGAGAACTGATGAGGATAATTGATAGAAATAAAGTTCTGTAGGTAAGAGGGTAGGGACTAAGAGTACTATTTTAAAAAAAAAAAAAAAAACTGATCTCAGAGTGATCTTTATTCTTCCCCCTCACAAGCAAAAAGACAGCAAGGATGGATATGCACATTGGGTTAGGGATGAAGGAAAAGGGAATTCAAGTGAGCTCAGATCTGTGGTTTTGTTTTTGACAGGCTGTCTTCAAAATGTGCAGGGTGAAAAAGAAGTCTGATGAGACAAAGGGCTTACAGCATCTGCTTTGGAACATATATAAGGGAGATAATGAGGCTGAAAAGCAGTCTCCAGAATTCAAATTTAAAAAAAAAAACAGAACGTGATTTCAGAGGCCTATTCCTCCCTCTGCCTTTCTGCCTCATCAATAACTCTTCTAGAACTTTCTTTTTTTCCATTTATACAGTCTGAGAAGTAGGAAGAACTGGAGAGAAGCTCTTTTTAAACCAAAATAAAGACCATCATATCTTTCAGGTGTCCACAAGAATGAATGAAAGACCAATATCTTCCCATTTAACTGTTTTTAAAAGAAAACAGGCAATACTATCTCTGGGTTCACCTAATCCCAAGAGGATTAAAAAAGCATCTGGAAATATGGGAAAAAAATTTTGGTAAAGCCATGTTATCATTTGAATCTCCAAAACTGACAGTGAAACATGAATCCCCAATGTAACAAAATTAAGAGGAGGGGTTTTTAGGAGGTAAGTAGTCATAAAAGCAGACACCTAATGAATGGGATTAGCAGTTTTATATTAAAAAAAAAAGATGGAGAGAACTGCCTAAACCTTTTTCCTTCAATCATGTGGGACAAAGCATCCCTCCCCTCCAGAAAAAGCAGCATTCAAAGTGCCATCTTGGAAACAGAGGCCCTCACTAGACATGAACCCTGAAGGTGACTTATCTTAGGCTTCTCAGCCTCCAGAACTGTGAGAAAATAAATTTCTGTTCTTTTTAAATTGACTATTTTCAGGTACTTTATTATAGCAGCACAAATAGCCTCAGACAAGCCAAGAGGAAGTTAAAAAACCATTAGATAATTAGGATAACTAACATCTGCAGATGGTAACCTGCAGTTTTCCCAGATGTTTGCTCATGGTTCAAGCCCAAACTGCTGTTCATTTTGCCTTCTTCAGAAATCCTAAGATACATCCAAACAGAAACAGCCTCTCTTTAGAGAGAAACAATGGTATTTACCTTTAACAACTTGATTATGCATCAACATCTCAAATTTTGAAGTAAAATGCCCTGAGTGTAGAACTCTGATGAAGAAGATTTGTTTGAAGGGTTACAAAATATAGAAATTCTTAACACAAATTGGGACTGATTCACATTTAAGGTACACTGGCAGAAGCTTTTGTTAAGAGCAAAAGGTCAGAAGATACCTGAGCATTCCACTGGCTTCAGTTGAAAGACCAGCTCCAGGCTTGCAGAACCAAAATGGATGTGAGGTATGAGACTGCACCATAGGAAGCACTTCAGCCACCACCTGCTTTTTCATGAAAAGGCAGGATGTGGGGAAGATGCTTTGCTGTCCTTGATTACTATTATTATTTGGAGTACTGGAATAAAAGTCTATCTGATGAATATAAATCAAACATAATTTTTAGGGGTTTGAGGAATGTTCAGTTAAACTATAGATTTAAGCAGTGATAAATTTTAAAGAATTTGTGTTCTCATAATAAACTTTAACTATCATTAAATAACATTAATAAAATACTGACAAACTGTTATTAGATTTGCTTTACTAATTCAATATTTTAAGTGGTTTGAAGTTATCTTATTAATCTTCATATTTAATCCTTAAAGTACTGAATAATCTTTTTCATAAATACATGTAAAAGCTTCCATTTAAAAACCAGGCCTTTAACCCAGATTCTATAGATTACCACAAATGTTAAATTTATCCTGGGTCCTAAATAATGATGCTTGTAGCTTAAACAGTATTCTGTCCCTAGCTCTAAAATTCCTGCAACAAATACCTAGTTAAGAATCTGAAGTCCTTATAAGAAAACTGTAAACATCTATGAAAACCTTGATATTAAACAAAGATAGCAACCTAAATAGCATATCAGTAACATGCCACCCTCCATAAAATGTAAAAATGAGTATTGTATATAACTAATTTATATACTCATATATTTGCTCAAGAAATCCTTTCCTTGGAGTTTCAGCCTTGTGTCTACAAAAAATCCTGATGCTAAGAGTGCTTGCATTTGCAGATAGAAAGTTTACAAAGAAGTGTCTTTACCAGCTTTGAAACCTTCCATTCAAATATTCAGAGGTAAACCCAAAAGCTCATGTGTGTGACAATGCAACAATTTTCCAATGTGAAATAATGAGATTATGAGAGGTAAAGCCTAATGTGTGGATTACTTTACTGATATGAATTAACTGGGCAGTACAGTAACTGTAGATAGGTTGGGTGTGGCTGGAAGAAGTAGGTCACTGGGGATGCCTTTTTGGTTTAGATTTTGTCCCTGATGAGCAGAGCACTTGCTCACGCTCCCTCCACCCCTTCCTAATTGCTATGTCCAGAGCTGCTTTCCTCCTACATGCCCTTCCACCATGATGTCCTCCTCACCTCGGGCCCACAGCTATGGAGTCAACTGACTATGGACTAAAACTCTAAAACCATGAGCCAAAATAATCTTTTCCACCTCTACTTTGTTTTTATCAGGTCTTCTGGTCACAGCAATAAAACTGTTGACTAAAACAGATGACTTGGCACTACTGCTGCTACTTCTGGAATCACAGTATGATTCCATAGACCCTATCATTTGAATTTTAGGTTCTTGATTTAAAGATGAAGGAAAATAGTTCTATGGCCTGGAATTAGTTTACTTCTCCCAAGGTTGTTATTAAAAGTCATCTTCTGCTTTACTATTCTCCCTCTTCTTTCCCTCCACAACCCTAAGTTTCCTTTATAACTCTCTTCAAAAGGAGTTATTCAAAGGCAAACAAAAACTATCAATTACAATGCAGTAGTAAAATAAACAATGAGATCTGAGCTGATTCTGGAATTCTACTGGAGGCTCAGAAGAGCTTCTGCCACATAAAGAATTCCAGATAAAAATTCTTCCCAGCCTGGGGTAAGGCACTAGGTTCCATCCTCAGCACCACATAGAAATAAACAAATAAAATAAAGGCATGCTGTCCATTTACAACTACAATAAATAATTTGTTCTTAATCATTAATTAATCCTGTACTTACTGAAAAGATCTATAAAGTCATCTAGAGTTTGATTCTCAAGCACTACAGCTCAGACTATAACGTTTGGATCTGTCCCCAGAGGCTCATGGGTTGAAAACTTGGTCCCCAGCTGGTGATGCTATTAGGAGATGGTGGAAGCTTTATGGGATGGGGCCTAGTTGGAGGAAGCAGGTCACTAG